TGGTAATAAAAAATTTGAACTAAAACAATGGGCTGGGTACCTTAAAAAACAACCTGTAGGTAGTTCAGCAATTATGGGAAACGACAAAGCTCGCCGTGTGCTGAGACCATCCTCACACAACTGCTGCTCATAAAAATGTTGTCCAGTTTTTCTGGAAAGCAGTTTTGTAATAGAGCCAATCTTCATTACCCATGGGTTCCCTTGTTGCTAATGCACCTGCTCTCTGAAATGTCTGAAATTTCAGAAATAATAACCCCAAAATCAATACTCGGGGGGTGCTGCAGTCATTCGTGAGCATACGGAGAGTGAGGGGAAACGGGCTGCTTGACACACGCGTCCCGGCTGATGCCAAACAAGGCGAGCCCCGCCTTTCGCTTCAGCTCCCGTTGGGTCACTGTGTCCTTTCCAGGGTCTGGTAGGTGCCACATTTTTCTCATTTCTGTGCCTTTCGTTGGTGACTTTGCTGGTTAAAGTGGCCCCAAGCACAGTGCTGGAGTGCTCCCTAGCGTTCCTAAGGGTCACAAGGCTTCCAGGTGCCCTGCAGAGAGAGTCCCGGTGTTAGAGGACCTCGGTTCAGGCCTGAGTTAGGGTGCTGTGGGCATGAGCTCACTGTTAGCGAGCCGACAGTGTGTATTAAATAAGGTGTTTTTAAACACAATACAGCAAGGTTACAAGTGATCAGTTGATGAAAATGGGTGGACCAGAAGTCAGCGGGATGCTAACCTTGCAGGGGACCCTCTGCCCTCCCCCAAGCCTCCAGAAGAAACAGGCCCCGAAGACAAGCGAGGCGGATTTGAACTTCTGACCAACACAGTTACAGAATAACTCGGCGTGGTTTTAAGTGACTGACGTTGCGGTCACTTGCTGCGGAAGGAAGGGGAAGTGAGGACAGGCTTGTGCTAGGCGTGTGCAGAAAACAGAGACCCACCAACCCTTCCGCAGGACGAATGTGCTGTATATTTGCGCACTCTTGCTGCGATGGTGTTGATGTTTATTGTATAGCACAAATCTACAACTGTTTCTTTCTATTTGGTAACTTTTAAATTTTTAAAAGTAAGCCTTTTTAGAAATAATAAACCCCAAGAGTAATTTTTTTAAAACTATGTCTTTATTGATTTCAGAGAGAGGAAGGGAGAGGGAGAGAGAGAGAAACATCAATGATGAGAGTCATTGATCGGCTGCCTCCTGCACGCCCCCGACTGGGGATCGAGCCCGCAACCCGGGCCTGTGCCCTGACCGGGAATTGAACCTGTGACCTCCTGGTTCATGTCGACACTCAACCACTGAGCCACGCCGGCTAGGCCAAAGAGTACATTTTTAATTAAAAAAATTAAGTACTTTTATCTCTCGAGGATGTTAAGAATGACATGCAACTTGCTCAAAAGACACGAGCCTGCTGAAGCCTCAGCACCCATTCCAGAAGTCACTCCTTAAAGACACAGGCTCAGAGGTGACAGTTTCCAACAGGCAGCGGCAGAAAGGGCCTTGACATTTCACACCATGCGGCGTGCGAGGCCTTTTTATTTAGGCCCAATTAATATCCCACCAAGCGAATGCCGCTTGCTTCTGCTAGAACGTTTCCGAGCGCACACACACGAAGTGAAGCCACCATGCGTGTCACTAGACAGTGGCTCCCTCTCCTATACCTTCTGCCCCTTCCTGGGCCGTCACATCTCCCCTCTTTCAATGTCCTGATGCAGTGAACAGCCCAGGGTGACTGATGAACACACGCAGCTCCCACGGAGGACGCGATTCTAAACTCCTTTCTCACCCAACTGGGGCGTAATTAAGCGCAGTTGACCACGGGGCCTCAGAGTCCCCTCGCTGTCAGTGCCCGGTTTGAGACAGGCACATATTTCCCTCTGGGCCACCACTGGATCCTAGGGGCGGTTTCTGGTCCTCAGGCTCCCTAGGCTTATGCGTGGGTATGTTTAATGCCAGGATGGCAGGTGGAACGGAATGAGCTCCTTGGGCATTCATCTTGGCACCCCGGCCTGCGCCCGGCTACCCCTAGTTGCCTGTGCGGGGAAGCCCCGGGGAGCAGGGCGAAGCGTCAGCAGGTGTCTCCAGGACGATCAGAAGATACGAACGCAACGGCCTCGCAAGGGCGCCTGTCACTTCAGTCTCCATCGCACCTGGGGGACAATAACCAGCAGCGCCTCTCTCCTCACCTGGACTGCAAGCAGCAGCAGCTGCAGGCCGGTTGCTCAAAAGCCGCTAAATGGTCCATCTAATTAATTTGCTTTTTTAAAAAAAAAATGAACTCATTATAGTTTACCAGTTTTAGATTCTTATCTTCATGGTCTTTTTCAAAATACAAAATTTGTCTCTCCAAGATTTCTTGCTGCCATAGCTACAGGCCAGAGGACAGCTGAAGGGGTTTCACACAACCACATGCAAGAGCAGGATCTTTAAAATGTTCGAGTATAAAATTGTCTCGTAAACATATGTGAATATATATATATATATACTTTTTCCATCCACCAAACTAAACCGTTTAATGAGTAACTTTGACCCGGGGCTTTCTATGAACTTTCCTGCTGCTTCTGTGCGTCAAGCTGGGGGCACTTCCAGGCTCGACCTTTGTCTTCTGAAACGTGTTTGCTCAGGAAGGCCCCATGTCATTGCGCATGTTTGCTCGCAGGGATCAACAGGCTGTTCCTGCCTCCATCCTAAACGTGTTTACCTGACATCTGTGCCAATCCTTGACCGTCACGGTGTTTGTCAATCGCAAAACTTTGGACACCCTGCTAGAACTACGCCATCCCCAGGCCTGAGCACCGAGCCGGTTAATGTTTCATTAACACTTTCCTGTTCAGGCTCCCATCCGAGACACCTCATGCTTTCAGTGAACAAAGTCACAGCAACGCCAGGACACACACACACACACACACGTCGAAAAGCCTAACTACATGGTGAGCATTTCCAGAGATACGTCTTGGGTTTAGGATTCTCAATCTTGGCACTATTGATATGAAAATTCATCGGAGCTGCCACGTGCATTACAGGACATTTAGCTGCATCTCTGGCCTCCACCCACTGCGTGCAGTCTCACTTCTACCCCACTTGTCATAACCAAAAATGTCTCCACACGTTGCCAAGCGTCCCCTGGGGGACAAACACTGCAGGTGACTTGCAGACAACCCTCCAACAGGAAATTCTAGATCCCTATTGAGGGTCGCATCATGAAGCAGTTGCTTCACTAACATCACACGAGGATGGCCGTCAGCTCGCAGGGTTCAGTGACGGCTGAGGCTACGCCAGGAGACAACAGACAGCTGTGCAGAGGCCGGGCTGGGAGCTGGATCTCGGGTTATCTTTCTTACATAAATAGTCCTGTCTCTAGCTGAGCCCCCAAATGACAGCGTGTTGAGGCTGAGGATGGCTGCTAAGGGGGAACGGCCGACGCCAAGTTCCACAACTACAGGGCAGTTGCCAGGCTGGCTGTGGAGGTCCGGGCACCGATAAGCAATTGAATTGATTTTGTTCTGACTTTTTTCCAATAAAAATCTTTTTTTTTTTAAAACAAAATAGACTAAGGGAAAGCATGATTTGTTTTAAAGCAAATTGCACAAACATCACTTCATCACCAAGTGGAAAAACACTGGAGAAAACATTGCATGGGCCAAAAAGTGGGTCCTATAGGCTCTACAGTTCCATAAAAGGGTCTGAAATGCTTTTCAATGGTATATAAAAAAAAAAAAAGAGTGCCCAATCAGGCTTGAGAGATTAGTGGTAGGAACCTATTTTTCATCTTTCATCAATGTTTCTAGAACTTTTAAATTAAAATTGACATATAACATTAGGACTTTCGTTTTAATCACACCTTTGAAATCTATACAGTGTAATAACCACTGGGGAGTTGGTATTAATGTTACTAACTTTCCAAGAACATCAGGGGTAATAATTCCATTTTGTTTTTTTCTAAAAACATTCTTGATAGAGCCCTGCTTTTGGATGAGATAGACACTTTAGTTAGTGGGAAGCACTGTCTTCATGATCCTGTTATGTCTGGAAGAACAAAAACACAAGAGACATTGTGCTTCACAGGTTTTATATTTTACAAACTGAAGGCAGGACCTTCCACCAGCGAGGACTGACTTGATTGCAACCCTCCATGCGGTGGTCTGAGCCCGCAGCCTCTCTGAGGCCCGTATGCCCCAGCCGCCCACGTAATTGAGGCTGGCTCTATTTCAAATAAAGCCTCTAGCTTCGGGTTCAGATCAGCCCAGCCGGGGTGTCCCCACAACTAACTGTGAACTCGAAATCCCCTGGGGTTCTTTCAAATAAATTCCTGCCGCAAAATCCTGGCCCTGGGGCTCCAGGTGATGAGCAGGACTCACTTCCAAGAGGCCCTCTTTCCTTCCAAGCTTCAAGCCTGCTCCTCCTGTCCTTTCTAATCCATGTCCTACAATTCCGGACTCAGTCTTTCTTTCTTTTTTTAAATGTCTTTATTGATTTCCGACAGAGGACAGGAGAGGGAGACAGAAACATCAATGATGAGTCATCGATCGGCTGCCTCCTGCACGCCCCTCACTGGGGATAAAGCCCCCAAGCTGGGCATGTGCCCTGACCGGGAATTGAACCGAGATCTCCTGGATCCTAGGTCGATGTTCAACCACTGAGCCACATCGGTCGGGCTCCTATCTTTCTGTATCTCAAATAAAATAAGGTCAGGAAGACTGGGGGGGGTCTGTAATTAGCATATAGAATACATGCCCTAATTTTTAAAATCTATCATATATATGGACATGCAATCACACAGACACACGCGCATGTGCACACACGCTCACATCCCCACTACAAACAAACGCTTGGTCAGTTTACGCTCCCAAATGACAGGAAAATAAAAGATGTCCGAGGCAAGACTGGGGAAGGAGATAAGCAGTTTTTCAGTACCAGGGGAATATTTTTAAATCACCAGTAACCAAAAAAAGTAAAACTCTTTAAAAATTGATATGGCTCTTTTATAAAACAAGAAGTGATAAACACACACAAAATCAGATTCAACTATAATACACAAGTCCATTCACATAAAAGAGTCTGTTTCCTTTTTGATTTTATATAATTATTTTATTTTACACTTTTTAAATTCATTTTGGATGTTGCACGTCCTGGGTTTTACACACTGTCCAAACTGCTCTGCTCTAGACAGTCAAGGTCATAGTCGTTTCCTTTCACATTTACCCATTTTTGTTTAAAAAATATAAGGAGTCTGTTTCATTTTATTTTTTATAGCATATTTTTATTATAAATTTATTTAGATCACTTTGGACCCAGCATGTCCTTAGGCTTGACCCACTCATCAAACTGCTCGGCTGTGAGATAGCCAAGTTCAACAGCAGTTGCCTTCAAGGTGGATCCATTTTTGTGTGCTGTCTTAGCAATCTTTGCGGCCTTGTCATATCCTGAAGAAAAAACAGAAAGATGACATAGAGTAAGTAGTGAAAGTAATCAGTGTTTACTTAATATTGATGCTACTCATCTCTTTAGTAATATTTTTTAATCTTAAAAATACTTAATAGTGATGATCTCGTCATTTCTAACAGGGATTAGCCTAACAGCTGTCATTTCTTATGTACAATAAAATCTTTCCATTTCTTATGTAATCCAGGCTTAAACATACTCACTTTCTACAACAGATTTGTTCCTAAACTGAAATTGCCCACGCACTCAAGGTATTTTACAGAGAGGGGGGATAATGCAATATAGCAACGAGACATAAAAACATACATGTGAGTAGTATAAATGTGTTGTTCCAAACATACTCAGTGAGAAGTAATTATCTTTGTAACAAAGCACCAGTCAGCTCAATGCTGCAGCATCCCACGGCCAGGCACTGTGGGACCGGCGGAGAGGGAGGGGCAGCCAGGGCTGGAGGGAAGGCCTCTGAGCCATTCCAGCAGCTCTTCCCTGCTCAGCACCCACACCAGGCCTCTTCTCAGACTTCAGGGACACAGGGGGGAGGTTTAGAATAAACAGATATTGTACAAAAGATCACCAATGTGCTGTTTACTGCAGTTCCTTGCTTTTAAAATGAATGAAGTGGAGGCAGAACAGTTCTACAAGTTGTCCTGACTTAACGTAACTAAAAAAGTCAGAAGGGAAAAGAAAGAAAGAACAGAAAAAATGGAAATAAAACCAATCAAGGAGGAAAAAGGAAAAACCAAGATCAGAGGAAGAGACATCTGACCACCGACCCAGCAAGATGTATGGTCAGTCCACAATTACTAACCATTTATACGACAAACGATGGGCACAATTAATTTTATCAGTTGACTGAATCTGTGAAGCGAAACATGCTGGAAGGGCGCTTACTGCTCAGAGTAATTTTGAGAGAATTCTCAGGTTGGGCGTCAGGGGGGACTCTTAGCTACTCTGGCCTTTTGCGTGAACACTGCCAGGGAAGGCTAAGCTGTGCGCTAAACACTCAGATCTCTTCGAGTCCCACAGGGCACTCCTGCCAGCTGGCCTGCCACACATGCACAGAGAGCCCGCGGTGCAGTCGTGAGGCGTGTGCTCTGTCGCCAGTGAGGTGCGGTCTGCCCACTTATCCTTGCACGGCCTTCACCTCACAGTAAACTGATTCCAGGAAAGACGCATCCGTCACTCAGCTTTAGGAGCACCTCTAAGTGAAATGCTTTGGCAACAGGTTCTGAGTACAGATGCAGTAAGACATTTCTCAATGAGCCTTTGAGTTCCCCTGGGAATCTGGCCAGCTGAATGCTGAGGTACAGTAATTTTAGAGGGGCCAACATGTCATTACCAATCTCAACAGTGCACCAAAGGACACATCATACCTGAGGCAGTCAGATGAGCTCTAACTTTATAAGACTGAAAGGAAGGCCTGACGTGAAGCCAAGAAAATAAAATCGGCCCTGAAAGTTCAGGATTATAGCAGAATGTTTGAAAGCAGTGACCATATCGTGCAAATGACTGCAAGCTGATCTTTTCTAAAATAGAAACTCAGACTGTTCAGCTCAGCTCAGCTCAGCAGGGAAGGTGGGAAAGGCTGTTACACCTCATCGGTAACACAGCGGATCTCGCAGAGCCCACAAGTCAACAGGGAACTGAGTGGGTCACTGCTCAGCCTGCAGTGCAAGTCTGTACATTTGAATCTACGTAATGAAATAGTTACCATTCTGGACAAGACTTGCAACACGAAAGCCATGTTTTAGACAAAATATGTGCGTTTCTCCCCTTCCCCTAGAAGTAATGAATAACGCCTTTTCTTTTCATTGGTAACTTACCGTTTTTTAATTGAACACAACAAAAACAAAGTGCAGCTGAGCATCTAGAGAAGGTAGGAAAATGAATTCACTCCCTGTTGCTAATCAGCCAGTGCCACCTAGTGACGGCGCCTATGGCGAGGCTCCTTCCCAGCGTCTCAGAATATAAAGCATCCGAATTCCACTACGATTAAAGTAAGTTTGAACTACTGCTTCTGAATTTACCACGTTTTCAAATAAAATGGAGTATAACCAATCATGTTTTTGAAAGATGACATCATAAGTTATATAGTGTCCTACAACACAGTATCAAAGATTTTATAAGATTTCCCTTAAACAATGTCCAAAAGAAGTTGATGTCTATAAACCTTGGTCCAGCAGTCTCTTAAATTTTTTCAGTTTTTTAATTTCGCATTGAAGTTGCATCACTCTTCTGTAAACCCTTACCTATATGAGGATTAAGGGCTGTCACCAACATGAGAGACTCGCTCATCAGCTTGCTGATTCTTTCTTTGTTGGCCTGGATTCCCACCACGCAGTTCTCTGTGAAGGAAACTGCCGCATCCCCGAGCAGCCTGGCTGAGTGCAACACATTTTTAATCTGCAACAGGGAGAGAGATTAAGCCTAATTTTTCTGGTCCAATAGCATACAGTAGCATTTACTGGTTCATAAAATATATAATTCAATACACATACAGCACTCCTACAACTTTAAGTCACCATACCCAATATAGCAAATAGGAAAGAAACATTTGAGAGCACAGAAATCTAAGACGAATAAATAATAAATACAAATAATCCACTCACTTTAAAATAACCTTTCACACAATATACAAAAACGGTATAAAATCAGTTTGTTTTAGCACTTTCTTTCGTTTGGTAACTTTCCAAGATATACTGGGATAAACACTCACATCCTAATCTCTTTGGGTCTAAAAGCCCAGAGTCTGAAAACTATACTCCCAACAATGGACTCAAGTAGAAGTCACAGAACTTCGAGATTCATTCCATTTGGTACTAATGACTATTATAAAGCAAATGTTGATTATCTTGATTTATTTTCTATTAAAGGCAAAAGAGATTTTTGTTTTAAAGAAAAACAAGGATGAGCAGACATTTCTTGTTACGCGCCTGTATTTGCCAGGCAGCTGGTGTTTGTTTGGAGTGTGAGTTCATGGAGTTCTGCGTTGGTCCGTCTTCTTTCTGTTTCCACTAGAATGTACACTCCATAAGAGCAAAACAATCTCTCTTGTTTGCTGCTCTGTCACTAGCAACTAGTACAGTGCCTGATACAGACAAGGGCACAATAAATATCTGATGAATACACTGAATGAATATACTTAATTCTGTCATTTGCATGTACTTATCAAATTAATCAGAGTTTACACCAGATTTCAGACATAATATTTTTACACCAATAAAGGACTCTTACGATGACAGCTTCATTATCTGAAGCTGGGGACAGGGATGGCGGGTGAGGCCACCTCGTTCCAGCTTCATAAAGAGGGAGAAAGAAGTTTTAGGGGACATAATGATGCTTTCATTATGTGGAAGGTATGTGGTAGAGGGAAAAGCAGTGAAAGAAAGGCTGAGAGAGAGGGAAGGAAGGGGAGAGAAAATGCTGAAGAAACCACGGGCAAAGTGTGTTTCGGGAGCAAGAGCTAGGACGGGTGTTAAGAGAGCTGTGGCGTGTCTGTTGACTGAGGAGGTCACAGTGACCGCAAGAGCACAAGTAGCGAGTATAGTGTGAATGACAGTGAGGGTGGGTCACTCCTTTAAGATTGAATTTCAGGGGAAGAAAGGAGCAGCGTGGAGACAGGCCTGAGGCAGGGCTCTTATTTATTTACTGTTTTTTAACTGAGGAGGCTTAAACTTATTTGTAGTGACTGGTATCCCTACTGGTGAGGGACAAGAAAGAAACCTGTACCATACCTTCCAGAATTTTTCTATTAAAAAAAACAAACAAACCACCAAATTACTTGAGCTTGAAGTCACCTAAGTGCAGACCCAAGATTACCCCTCCAATGTTAATATATACTTGACTTCCAACTACTGATGACATCATCAAGTATCGAACTTGAGATCTATAGGAACCTTTATGAAAGACAAAAACCAAAACCAAGACAATTAGCTTCCAGTCAAAAAAACATTACAAATCAAATGTCAAGCTTACCATCATTGGCTTGAAAACATTCAATTCAAAATGTCCGTTGCTGCCCCCAACGGTCACAGCGACGTGATTCCCCATGACCTGGGCGGCCACCATGGTCATCGCTTCACACTGGGTAGGGTTCACCTTGCCTTCAAGAAAACCACCGGGGAAGATTCCACATCAGACACACTCATGGCTTCAAGTATCAGTGAAGATTGGGTTTTATGTCAAATCGTCAGGAATACAGGAAATCCAACTTCATTAAATAAAGACGTATAATCAAGCCAAGCCCCAACCATCAGCACTGACTTAATGAAACAAACCAACCAAAGAAAGGGAGATAGGGAGCCACAAACTGTGACTCATTCAATGGCTAATAAACAATGAGGAATGAATTCCCCCGACACGTTAAATACAGTTCTCTCCATCTTCACAGCTTGCACTCGTTCTAGAAATGCTTATAGGGCCAGGCACTGAATAGACGCCGGTAAGGAAGAAGGGTGCTGCCCCCACGCTCTCAGAACCTGGGAGCTGGGGAGAGTGCACTGGCAATTACAGCAGGTCAGGGGTACAGACAGAGAAGCGCAGACTGTTATGGGCACAGTTATAAAGGGGGGCCTCGCCTACAACTAGGAGGCTTCTCAGAGGACGACGACATTCCACTGGAATTCTCCTACTCAGCCTGTGAAGCCCCAGGGCCCCACCATTCTGGTAACACTCCTCTAAGAAGCTCAGGTTTGAACCGAACGTCCCAGATTCCTCTGACCAACACAAAGCAACGCACTGGGAAGATTATTTCCTTTTCTGTAACAGCATTTCTCGTTCCTAGGCAATCGCCTGGAATTCGCAATCAACTTCCATCAGGTCATTTTTCAACATGAAATACTTTAAAATCAGATCTCTTCTCATTCTACACGTGCACAGAGTTAAAAGAATCTTCAGTCAGGTCTTTTTTTTTTCACTATCAAAAGTCACTTTGTCAGTTTTAGTCCAACCTACGGAGGCCTTTATGAATGTGAGTCTGTCACCTGCTGGCCTGCTGTCAACTTCATCACCTGCTACCATGATGAGCACACACCCTCAGTTCACCAGTCAGCTCGCCGCCAAGATACTCCTCCAGTCCGAAGTCAGCCCACTAGTCACTCCTTACAGGTCACTGTGCACCCAGCTACATTCATCTAATGGCACTGCCCACACTTCTCCACTGGATTCAATGAACATCATGTTAGTCTGTCAAATGACTTGCTGGAACCCAGCTATACAATGCCTGTGTCAATTTCCCAAAAAAATGAAGTTAAGAGGCATAATTCATTTTTATTTGACCCATGCTGATCACTTTACTGGCCTGTTCTAAAACTCTCTTGGCTTTGGATTGTGAACTATTATACATTTATATTTTCCAGTGTGGGAATCAAAAGCATTATACTAAAAGCCTTTCTCCTACATTGTTGGGTGAGGTTCCCTGAAGGCCTGATCAAAGGTGGCCCAAAAAGACAATCTAAAACAAGGGTGCTGCACATGTCCCCATCCATTTTTGAGATCATGGGATCCCAAACGAAAAGAGATATGCTCTGGAGATGAGAATGCCTGGGTTTTATGAAGTACCAGCTCTCACTCTTATCAGCTATGGAATTACCTGGCATGATACTGCTTCCTGGTTCATTTTCAGGCAAAATCAGTTCTCCCAGACCTGAGCGAGGACCAGAACCCAGAAAACGAATATCATTTGCTATCTTCATAAGACTGCAAGCAGTTGTGTTCATGGCTCCACTGAGTTCAACCAAAGCATCATGAGCAGCCAGAGCTTCAAATTTATTTGGAGCTGTAACAAAAGGGAGGCCTGAAAAAAAGATGGTAATAACTGATATGAGTTAACAGGTAAAATTAAATGAATTTCTAATATCAGCAAATTAAACAGAAAGTTCAGTATATGAAACCTAAAACAACAGAAAAACAATTTTACTTCAGCAAACAATGTTTATTTGACTAAAGTTTTTGTCTACATATCTTCAAAAAGTCCTGAAGGAGTAGAAAGAATCAATATTTGCATTATGGGAATTTCAGAAGGAGAAGAGAAAGGGACAGTAAGTATATTTAAAGCAATAATGGCTGGGACCTTCCTGAACCTTGGGAGAGAAATGGACATCCAGATCCACAAGGCCCAAAGGATTCCAAATAGGTTGAACCTTAACAGGGCTACACCAAGAATAATTATGGTTAAATTATCAAAAGTCAAAGACAAAGAAAAAATTTTAAGAGAGGCGAAAAACAGAAGTTACATAAAAGGTAACTCCCATATGACTATCAGCAGCAGATTTGTCAACAGAAACTTCTCAGGCCTGGAGAGAAGGGAATGACATATTCAAAATATTGAAAGAAGTAGTCGTGTCAGCCACGAATTCTATATCCAGTGAAGCTGTCCTTCAGAAAGAAAGAAGAGATAAAGACTTTCCTGAACAAACAAAAACTGAGGGGCATCATTACCACCAGACCTGCCTTACGGGAAATGCTAAAAGGAGTTCCTTGAGCAGAAGTAAAAGAACAATAATTAACATCATAAAAACATATAAAAGTAGTGTAAATCTCACTGCTAATGGTAAATATACAGTCATAGTTAGATTGTGCAATATGGTAATAGTGATGCATAATTCACTTACAACTTTAAAAGTTTTTTTTAAGAAAATGTAGTAAAAATAAGAATATAATAATCTGTTATTAGTTGCACAATATAAAAAACATGTAAATTTTAAATAACAATAACCTACAATGTGAGGGGGAGAAGTAAAAATGTAAAGTTTAAAATTCTATTGACATTAGTTGTTACTAGTTTAAAACAGGGTGTTATAAGTTTAAGATATTTTCTGTAAGCTTCAAGGTAACGGGGAACTCCTATAATAATTATACAAAAAACACAATAAAGTCAAAGCATACTGATACCAAAAGATACAAAATCACACAAAAAGACAGCAGGGTAAGAAACAAAGAACAGCAAATCTACAGAACCACCAGAAAACAATTAACAAATGGCAATGCTCAGCCCTTACCTATCAATAATTACTTTAAATGTAAATAGATTAAGTTCTTCGATTAAAAGACACAGAATGGATGGTTAAAAAAATAAGATCTAACAATATGCTATCTGCAAGAGACTCACTTTATCCTTAAAGACACATACAGACTGAGAGTGAAGGGATGGAAAAAGACATTTCAAGCAAATGGTAAACAAACAAAAAACAGAGGTATACTTACATCAGACAAAACAGATTTAACTAAAAATGGTGAAAAGAGACAAAGAAGGTCATTATATAATGATACAGGGTCAATACATCAAGAAGCTGTAACAACTGTAAGTATTTATGTACCCAACATCGGAGCACCTAAACACATAAAGCATAAACAATACTTGTTGAGGATGTTAAAATCCAACTTTCAACAATGGATATAGATCATACAGAGAGAATCAATGCGGAGCAGCGGATCTGAACAACACTATATATCAAATAGATCTGACAGACATGCACAGAACACTATCGACAATGGCAGAATTCAAGTGCACATGGAACATTTTCCAGAATAGACCGTGTGTTAGGGCCCAAAACAAGTCTTAGCAAATTCAAGAAGACTGAAAGCATACCAAGTATCTTTTCTGAACACAATGGTATTAAGCAGAAAAATACTCCTAAAATAAAACACGTTTGATGGCAAAATATTATTTCTAACTTTAAATTCACAAAAATTTAAAGCAGTAACACCCAGAAAATATATAGGTTAATATAATGAAGTAAGTAATAATTCATATTATCACTGACCTGTGAGCGTGGCCACTTTTGCAGCAACCTTTTCGGCAAAGCCAATTCTAGTATTTAAACCAGTACCGACAGCAGTGCCTCCAGCTGCGAGTTCATAGATTCTTGGCATGGCAGCTTTTATTCTCATCATTGCATATTTCAGTTGTTGAACATAGCCACTAAACTCCTGAAAAAGGAAGGAAATTAAGGTGAGAATATGTAATTCCCTAATGACTTACATTAAATAGAAGTCTTATGGCATTAAATAGAAGTTTTCTTAAATATGTTTTAGGCACTAAATTATAAGGTACTCAAAAGGTATTTATACTATTTTAATTCTTATGATGAGCAAAGTATAGGAAAAAATAAGGTTTTATAAACCTATGAGGTAAGACAATGCCACTGGTAATAACATGCAGCCTGTTTATAATCTAGTCTTAATAGAAAGCAATGGAAAACAGAGAAAACAAACTTTAAAAGAGAATGACATAATTACATTAAATTATTGGTTTATTTACAAGTTATTTCTTATATTTTGGTGTATCTCAGATAACTTTGAGGGGAAAAAACAAAACAATGAATTCACTAAGAAAAATATAAACAATAGAGATATTCTCCATAGAATTTTAGTTTAAAATCCTGATATGACGATGTTTTAATTCTGCTATTGATGTCACACTGGTTCCTAAAATATGACACACTTTAAATAAAGTAACTACAGAATTTATTATTTTGAACATAGCAAGGGATCATCCATTAAGAATTATTCAGGAACAAGGCATAAACTGGAACTCAACTGAACAAGCCAGGATAGATGGTTACACTAAATCTTCTTTTTCCCCCGTCTAAAAATACTGAAAAACCATGAATATCTTTGATTACTTCTTAGGATCTCGTATTGCTCTAAAGAAAACATTTTGAAAGATATAACTCCTGCCCTGGCCAGTGTGGCTCAGTTGGCTGAGTCTTCCTGTGCACCAAAACGTTTGATTCCCAGTCAGGGCACATACCCAGGTTGCAGGCTCGATCCCCGGGAGGGGGTGTGCAGGAGGCAGCCAATTGATGTTTCTCTCTCATCAATGTCTCTCTCTCCCCCTCTCCCTCCTTCTCTAAAATCAAAAAAACATATATATTTTTTAACTCCTTCCAGGTAAACCTGATCCATCTGATCTAACATTGCTCATATATACACCAGCTGCATTCACTCAAGAAGTATATTTTTTACTGGGGGGAAAATTACATAAACTAAAAAGACAATTCAAGTTTTCCTCATTCCTTCAGTGATAAAATTAAGCTAAATAATAAAGCTTTTTCAGTGTCTGCTATCATCTGAATAAGACTATAAATGGTAGTAAGTCAGCAGTAGCCAAACACCCTCACTTCAATTTCTGCAAAACTATCATTTGATACTTGGCACATATAACCATTTCTTGATATGTAATTTGTATATGTCCTAGCTTCTAAACTGGAGTGAGCATACTAAGACAAAAACTATTTTTTTAACTTCCTTATATTTCCTTTTAGATATATACTTTTAGACATTTTTTAAGGTACTGATAAAGAAACGTAGAAACACTTCCTGGTATTTTGGAGAAGAAAGTAATACCCCTTCCAAACGTGGCCAAAACAATTTTAGAGTACGATATGCCTCGTTTCAGCACTCTAATATTAATATTTAAAGAAGCTACTATTTTAGAGGAAGAGAGACAAAGGCAGGATGAAAATGATGACAACAGTTAACAGCAGTATATGCTGACTATGGTCAGGCATGATTCCATCACTCTACATTAATCAGCTATTGAACCTCATAACTCTCCTATGAAAGAGATATTATACTCTCATTTGACAGCTCTGAAAACTGAAGCACAGAAAGGCTAAATAATTTTCCTGAAGTCCAACAGCTTGTACACAGCAAAGCTAAGATTTAAATCTGAGCAGACCAAGAAGTCTGGCTCATATCCAGCATGCTCTGCCCTCCCCCTAAGTGGATGTCAATAAAAACTACTGACTGGTTCATGCAGAACAATTTCTGTCACTAAACTGAGTTGTTATAAACCTGGCCTTTTAAATCTGTGTGATTTAGCAGATAATATGCTGGCCACTTGCACCAACCCCGAACTTGAATCAAATCGAATCACGCCCCTATACCTGCCCAAGAGTGAGCGGAACAGCATCCTGGGTATGAGTGCGCCCGATTTTGATGATCTGGGCAAAGTCTCTGGATTTCGCCTCGAGAGCATCGTGCAGCTTCTGCAGTCCTGGTAGGAGTACTTGGTTAACTTCCATCGCAGCGGCAATGTGCATTGCCGTGGGGAAGGTGTCATTTGAGCTCTGTTGGACATTTTTCAAAAGAAACAAAATGTTAGATCAGAGGCAACAAAAAACTTGAGTGTCTCAATGAAAAATCTCACTAAATGACTACTCAAAACTCAGCATATTTTTAATACTCAGTTATACTTGTGAGTGGCAAGTCTGAGGTCAGTTAGGGTCCAATAAGAACCTGATTTCCTTTGTGGAATGTCCTTAGGACTGTATTATATACCACCTACAACGAACACATTAGACACTAGTGCATCTGCCTGCGAACGAGTGACAGCACGGAACAGAGAAGCACAGTTAACAAGCGCAGTAGCACTTGCAGCAGTGAGTACATGTCGACACAGCAGCAGTGCCTTACGGTTACACGGTGCATACAGTCTCTCATAAACATTTCCTCAGCAATGAAACTTAAAATCTGAGGTAGGTCACCACTTTAGAAGTAGGAAAGCCAAACTGTTGAAGAAATTATGTCACTTGCCAAAATATCTAGGACTCGCAGAACTGGAACCTGACCAGGAAGTCCAAACTCTGCGCTCTTTCCTCGACTGTAAGTCCACACTTTTAAACTATGATGCTATTTGAAAAGGCACATTATTTATTTTTAAACTTTGTATTATGGAAACTATGAAACTGCTTACAAGATTAGGATGAACGATATAATGAACACTCATGTACCTATCACCTAAATTCAAATAATCACTCTGGGGCCAGGGCCGGGAAAATACAAGATGGTGAGCCGGGAGCATCTTTCAGCACAAGAAAGTACATCAATGGTTTTTAAAAGGACAGTAGCACATACAAAGTACACAAGAGCCAATAGAGGGCTCCCAAAGCTGGAACAACCTCAGCAACAATATGAATAACAAAAGCAGTGCGGGGAAAGGCACTGGATTATATAACTTGAAGAATAAAATAGATATTCATGAGTCACACCGATATACACTAATGACTGAATAAATAAATACACGTGCAGAGAAAGAAGATAAATCTTTAGTGAAATTTTACTCAATAAATGTATTAGGAGTGAGAGGCCTAGAAAACCACTGCTAAATACCATCATGGTAACTGCACAGGCAAGACCCTCTGATGAATGCGAAGGTCATGGGCAAAGGTTGATAAGAGAGACGGTAGCATAGCCTCAAAGTGCTCTATTAAGTCTGCGGCGACTCTAACACATGCCCAGACTCTAACACACTACTTAATGTAGAGTCTGAAGTGCAGGCAGGACTCGATGTCTCTTCTAGCAGAGCACGGAAGGTGGAGAACCCCACAGACACCGTCTTGACCAAGTGATGAAAGTTAACATCCCCGGGACCGAGAGTCCCATTGCCATCGTGTACCCTGACCCGAGGCAGTGAGAAGAGCCCTCATTCCTCTAACATGCATCCCCAAATCCAGTCGCAGTCTAATCATGAGAAAACATCAGACAAAGGCAAACTGAGGGACAAAATGCCTGACCGCTACTTTGAAAACTGACAAAAGACATGCTGCCATAAACTGGAGGAGACTAGGGGATATGACTGATGAGATGTGCAGATGGGCGGGATCCTGAAGACAAAAAGGACATCGGTAGAGAACTAGACTTCCTAATCCAGTCTGTTTAGTTAAGAGCACTGTACCAATGTTAATTTTTTAGAGTGGTAAATGTACTAAGTTTATATAAAATGTTTAAGATTAAGGGAAGCTGGGTAGAGGGTATACAGAAACTCTTTGAGGGATCTTTTATAAATTTAAATTATTTCAAAATTAAGAGTTTAAAAGTTAAACCAAAACAATAAAAATATACATACATACTAAATTCAGGTGTCTTAAAAGTGATTTTCCCCTAAATGTGATTTTTATGAAGCTTAAGACATTAGACCCAAGATTCCTGAAAGAAATAAGAACATCTAAGAAGTCCTTTCCACTAAAGAATATAAGCAGAATGAATCTCCTTGTCAAAAAGCCAACACCTGTTTCATAAGACAAATCTCAGGTATTCTTTTCAATTTATACTGAAGAAAAGATAAGATAAAAGACTGACCTGGCTTTTGTTAACGTGATCATTGGGATGCACTGGTTTTTTGCTGCCAAGTTCACCTCCCAGCATTTCAATTGCTCGGTTGCTAATGACTTCATTTACATTCATATTTGTCTGGGTTCCTGATCCTGTCTGCCACACCACCAGCGGGAAGTGATCGTTTAATTTCCCTTCAGCTACCTGCAGAACAGAGGGTTAAAAAAGGAATTTTTTAAAATAAGAAAGGCAATATTCACTTATATAGTACTATTTTAATCAACTATGATTAAGTTGGCACCATTTATAGTACTTTCTTAAAGATTTTTTTCCCTATGCTAAATGACTTACTGAGGGGGCCACACAGCGTGCGGTTGTCCAGCAAGTCTAAGTCTCCGCAGCATCACTTGCTCCAACCACGGCTACTTTAAAAAGTGAAAGATGAACGACTGTGAATCAATTAAACTGAATCGAAGCCATCTTTCCTCTATTTCTCCAACTACCTCCTTACTAATATGCAGACAGGGCCGCCTGCTAAGGCTGGCAAAATGTGAAGTCTTTAGATACACTTAGTGTTGCGCTCAGCAGGAATATCCAACAGATGTTGCAGCTGGAGTCAGCACCGTGAACTGTGACCTGAGAGCGAGCCCACCAACAGCTGCTTCAGCGCCAAGCACAGAGACACAGGCGAGGTTTGTGCCTATTTTTGTTATATTTCTATACTTTCAGTTAATGTACTAGTTTTTGGACTGTAAGCTTTCTAAGAAAGTGGGTGTTTAACTTCATCTTTTGGAATGATTTTAGCTTGGAGGGGTGGGAGCGGGGTGGGGAGGGTCA